TCATTTTACATCCCACCAGCCTCCGCATTCATAGGATCATTCTCCACCATTTCAGACAACTCCAGCAGAACGCCACCAAACACATCTTCCCCTCACACCTCTGACTGCATTTCACAGGGATCGTTCTCTCTGGGACACCCTAGTCCATTTTATGACCACCAACACCAACCCCTCTCCACGGCACCTTCCCATGTAACCGCAGAAGGTGCAACACCTGCCTCTTCACCTTCTCCCTGCTCACCATCCAAAGGCCTATACAGCCTTTCCAGGCAAAGCAGGTTTTCACCTGTACCTCCTCCAATCTTGTGTATTGTATTCACTGCACCCAACTTGGCCTACCTCTACGTTGGAGAAACCAAACACAGACTGGGTGACTGCTTTGTGGAACACCTCCGGTCTGTGTGCAAGCAGGATCCCGACCTTTCTGTATCTGGTCATTTTCACACAACATCCCATTCGCATGCCCATGTGCCTGTCCTTGACATGCTGCAGTGTTCCAGCGAATCACAGTGCAAACTGGAGGAACAACTTCTCATCTTCAGACTAGGCAACTTACAGCCTTCTGAGCTTAATATTGAGGTCAAACACCTTCAAACTGTGAACCATTTCTTCCCTTTCCTTTAGCTTGTTATCACGTCCTCCACTCCCCCCATCCCAGCTATTGTCCTTTCAAGTCTGACAGGAGACCCACCATTGCTCTGCCATTCTCACAATCTGAGCACTTAATCTGAACAATCAATATCTCTTCTCCACTAGTAGCTTACATGCACTAGCCCCAAGCCTCCCCCAACGTATAGCGATAAATGCTGCCCCCTCCACACTTCACCTCAGCTCTGCTGAAGAGTCATCTAGACTCAACACGTTAGCTTGCTCTCTCTCTAGGGATGCTGTCTGACCCACTGTGATCTCCGGCATTTGTTGTTTCAGTACAGATTCAGCATCTGCAGTAATTTGTTCCTATATAGGGAGATAAGGATATGGTGTGATTTAAAAATTAGGTTGAGAATATTAAAATTGAGGTTTAACCATGAGCCACTGCAGACCAATGAACAAGGGGCTGATGGGTGATGGGATTTGACGCAGAGATGTGATATGACTTCAAGTTATGGAGGATAGAAGTTGGGAAAGCAGGTAGAAGTGTATTGAAATTGAAAGAATTAGAGGAAGCAAACATATTGATGAATTTCAGCAGCAGGCTCAAATATGATAGCAAAGTTGCAAATGGTCACCCTCAGTCTCAAACAGCTGCCAAAGGAATGGGACAGAATTAGTGTCATGGGCATGAAGTCTGTAGAGTGATGAAGGTCTCTACATCATTATACGGTACTTCTTAATGGACAAACATAGAGTGGCAATGAGAAAAATACAGGATCAAGTGATTTGATCACCATCTTAAATGAATGGGAACTAAACGATGAGAGGAAAATTTAAAGTGGATGAAATATTAAATTTATGGCCCTGTTGATTTATATTCTAGGGAACAATGGTGAAGAGCACATAATTCCTCCAGTAAATCAGGAATGTTTGCTCCAGATTAAGCCATCATTGATCTTATCTCTTTTTGTAGGATTATTGCTGTAACATTTTCTGGTATACCAGTTGTCATTGCACTACTGTATTCCAGTTTTTTTACTGGATATGACACTTTGGAATGCATCTTACATGGTAAGTTGCTACGTGTTTACAATCTTTTTTGCTGACTCTACACGTTCTTAACAAATGAAAGCCCTTGTAAAAGTCACTATATTTCAAACTGTAAAAATTATTAATTTCACACATTTATAGGTAATTTCTTTTTAAAAGGTTCTTCATAGATGCCTTCGAAACTTGAATAAATGTTGATTACCAGACAAAACACTCACAACATTTGTTCACTGCATGTCCCAGATTTTACATCACTCCCCAACATAATTCTAAGATAGTAATCATCCATTACTATATTTTGAAATGCCTTTTGCAGAAAGTGCTGAAATCACCAGATCCTAAATCACTGGTCTTCCATCCACTGAATGCTGTACTCAGCATTACTGCAAAGCTTCACACTGACTATGTGACTTCTCCCACAGTAAGGCTTTCTTATACAAATATGCTCATTAAAGGTATTTTATGAGGGAGCAAACAGCTTATTCCTGAAAGAATGCATTTGTCTTGTACTCTGATAACTAGTCCTCAATGTAACACTGCCAGAATGAGAATCTATTTGAAATTTATCTACAAACAATTTTGAAAATTTGAACTTTCAGCAATGGTAGATTTCTCCCCTTCCTGGAGTGGAGTAGGCAACAGCAAATAAGTTCAGAAAATACAGCGAGAATGAAACTATCAGAACCTTGATGTCAAGAAAATGTTTCCAGATTTTTGTCCTTAAGCTTTAACAAATGACTTTAACAAGTGACCCTAGCATCTCACTATTTAGCGGTGAGTATCTCATTTCCATGTATTTACATCAATTTGTGGCCTAATTCAGTTGATTTCAAATGTACTTCCAACATCCTCTCCTTCCCCAGAGGGCTCTTGTGGTTCAGTGATAGTGTCGCTACCTCTGAGCCAAGAGGACTAGGTTCAAATCCCAACTACTCCAGGCTTCACTGATTTACAGGGGAAAAAAAAAATCCCCTTCCTCCATGAGGGAACTGGATGGCGCATATTCCTAACATACAATGCTGAGTGGGTGCCTGGAGGCTTACTGATTGCTTGTCCCTGCCATCATCTAACAATATCCCTGCATGCTCCATAGCTACTTTTCTACCCATCCCTTTGTCTGAGCAATTCTGCATAAGCCAACCACCAACCTCACCACATCACTGTGCCCAGTCTTGGGCTAACTCTCACACCCCATCAGGAACACCTATAACTGCGTGTTTCTGCAGGTTGCTTGGTGTGCAGTGAATCATATACATTTAAATGGGCTGTCTCCTGCGGCTTTCAGCGCTCACTCACTTAGCACTTACATGGAGGCTGCCAGCTTCTGTGCCTTGCATTCACTTTTCATACAAAAGGGAAAGGCAGGCTGGAAGCACTGATCTGTAAAGGGGATGGAGGTGTCCTTATATAACATAATTTTGGGTCAATATCATACATACAGAAGGTGCCTGCAGCTTACACAGCAAATACATTGCATGGTGCTTCAGCTAAATAGCCATATCAAGAAGTCAGAAGGGAGCAGTCACTTCAGGGTCAAGAGAGACTACAGTCAGTCAGGGGCCTCATCTGATTCCAGCCCAGGTTTGTCCACAATCAGTCAGGGGCTTGCACCCACCAGAATTTGGGAATCCGTATCCTTGGAGTCCAGGTTTGGGCTATGTTCAATCTTGCAGGTCAAGTAGAACAAGTGTGGGTTTACACTTTCTGTAATCTAGCATGCTATGGAGGCATCAGTTTGGCTGGTGGGCCATCCTCACTCAACGATGTTCGGCCAAGTCAGCCCAGGAGCTGAACCATGGACAATATTGGGGTTTTCCTTACTAATGGTCAGGAGGCTGATCAGGGAGGTTTAGCCATGGAGTCCTGGGGAAAGTTGGCAATGCAGGTCTGGGGGTACGATTCATAGGATTGAACTCATTGAGGGAATGATTACAGTGAAAGGGGGCAATTCAGGATGGAAGGGTGAGATCTCACAGAGAATAGAGGAGGACAGGGAACTCCAGGAGTGGGTCTTTACAAGAGGCAGGATGATGTTGGCATGTATATAGCAAGTGTGTATGGCCTGTGAGGTCATAGGAATGTGCAGATCCATGAGATTTTAAGGTAAATTAATGATTATATAAAGAGGCCTAATGGAAACTGGAGAAGAGGGGTTGAAAGGTCTTCGGGGACATAGTGTGATGATGCTGTGGCTTTAAGACGTTATTTTGTCCTGGTTTTTTTTTGAAGAGAGATTTTAAAGCAGAGGTATGGAGCAATCTATGAGAAGATAAACACCTTGTGAGGCCTTGGGTTTTTATTTAAAGTTGGAACAATAGAAGCAGCCTGAATGGGTGTGGTCAAACTCCCACAGAACCAGGATCTTTAGTTTAGCTTTCAGCAGTCGCTGTTGGGGTCTTTGAAGAAGTGAAAACTAGTTTTTCCCTCTCTCAGTTACAGCCAAAAGCTAGGGGTTCTCCGCCTGCTACAGGAGTTATAGGTGAGACAATCTGTGTTCTGAGTTTGCCTTTTGCCCACGGTGTGTTTATGGTATGTTACAGTATTGGAACACTTACTTAGTATTAGTTACTGTATCTATTATTCTGTTAAGTTTTCCCATAGAGCTGTTATTCCAATTCCTTCTTTCTTTTGTTGTATTTTAACTATAGTGGATGTTTAAAGTGTTTTTTGCTTTAAATCCAGCAGTTTGACCAATGGAATTGCATCTGGAATGCAACATCTTACATTTACCTTTAAAATAAGAGAAAGTTAGGGTCTAGACTATCTTGTGAATATTTTAAAGGGGTCTGGTCTTGTTCATAACAATAGTGACAGGGGCACCAAAGGAAACATGAAGAATGGGGTCATCCTGAATCTCAACTGGAGCCCGGAGGTCAGTCACGAGGATACAAAGTATAAACATTGCTATCTTCAGTCCAAAGTCAAGTCTGCAAAACAATATAAGATGGCTGCAGCTGCCTGCAGAATGGGCGAAATAAGTGACTGAATTTTTTTTGTGGGGATTGGAGTAAAATTTTTTTTAATTTTAAGGCTCTTCAAGTGGTAATTACATTAATCATGCATCCACTGCTTCAGTAATGCCACCTTTCTGGCATTAAATTGTGTCATTTAAGTAAACAACCAGCTATTTATAGAATATTTAACTGTACCATTAAATGTTATTATAAGCAGGATCCAAGCATTCTGTCATCATTACATTTTAAAAGCCCAGGAATGCAAATTGATTTGTCCACCTGAAATAATAGATTTCAAGTAGCTTTCCATGCCCTCAAGTGTTGATTTGAAATGATCTTCATTACATTATAATACAGTACCATCATCCCTGAGGTTCATCAGTCTGAAATCTATCGGCTTACCTGTCTCAAAATATGCTGATTGCCCTCTGCTGGAATGTTGTAAGCACTCCTGATCAAGTTTTTGGCAATGTGGAAATAGTACACAGATATGATGAAGAGTGGGATGATGTAGAGAATCAGAAAGGATGCTGTGGAGTGGATTTTAGGGTGCAGCTCATCACCATGTGGGTATGGGGCACACGCCTTAAACGTTTTATTGATATGTGGGTCATAAAAGGAGTGCAGATCAGAAAATACTGCATCAGGAATAGCCAGTAGCATGGAAAACACCCAGATGAGGGCCGCTTTCACACAGATTTTCATCAGGGCATTGGTCTTCTGGATGTCCATGGGTCTGACGATAGCTTTATACCTGCACAAAGAATACATGAAAAGTAAGTGTCAATATTAGAAATAGATGCATTTGAATAATAACAATAAGTAAGCAGAAATAATTTACAATATATGTCTTTTTCAGTGGAGTCCAATTAAGATAATCTAAAGTGATCGTTTATGCTTAGCATCAGTGCAATTACTCTCAGCTCAGAGGGTATAATATAATTGTAATCATACAGTCAATTAGTCCATTTTAAATTTTAGACATTCAAATATTAGAAACTGTCACCAAGCAGTGAGCAGCAAGTAAAATATTTTGAAGCCAACAACAGAAGTGGAATTGTCAGCTCGGCAGAAAATTGTATTCCCATCATAAACACTGACCCAAATTTCATCCCTTCAATATACAGAACATTGAACACTAATTTTGTCACCTCTAATTTATAATCTTATACCTCAGAGACACACATGGAGGGCAAATCAAATATCTACTCCTGCATACTTTTCATAAGTCCTGAAGAAAGTGATTGCCAAGGGTTCTGCAGTTCTTAGACATTGATGCGTTGCTAAAACCACTGTGATTAAAGGCCCACTACAGAGTAAACAATGCACTAATATTACCATTGAAACATCAGTTAAATACCAACATCAGAGAAGGATGGCATTTGTATACGGAATTTATATTAAAACAGTATGCTTTTATTGCACGCCCACAGAACATAATCTTTCGATCCCTGTAAGATGAATGTTGCTCAATCACCGATTAACCTATTACAACGCTTCAGCAATAAACACATTGCCCTTTTCATGATCCATTGATCAATTCACTTTACTTGAATTAACATGTATGTTGGATAAGTCTAGCTGTGGTGGAAGAGTAATAACGTGCAAAGAAAAGCTTATTTTACTGAAGGGACTTGCAAATTCTTTGCTTGTTTCTTCAAGCTGCAAGCCTATACCAATGGCAGGCATAGAAGATGTTCAAAATAACATTTTACACTTAATATAAATGCCCTAAAGTTGTCTGATGCATAGGAACACATGGAAGTATGCAGTGAGGTGTAGGAGGTATCAGAGCGACAACAGCAACTTACTATTATTTAAGACTCCTCACATGAAGGAAGACATACTTTTAAGCACTGATCAGAATTATCAGGCAGGCATATATGGACATAATAGCAGTGAGTGGTGAAAATTAATGTAAATAGAATAAACTTAAATAGAGACCATATGGTCCCATTAAAAAGCTTAAGTTAACAATGCAACTTAACAAAGAAAATTGATAACAAAAAGTTTTCAAGCCAAGTATTCTAAACAATGTATCAGAGTAGGTCATGTATGGTACAGGTATCGGATTTGCCTTATTGGAAGTATTTTAATCTCTGAATGCACATTGCACTCACAAAATGGTTGATGATTTCATAGAATCCCTACAGCATGAAAGCAGACCATTCAGCCCATCAAGTTCTTATTGACCCTCTGAAGAGCATCCCATCCAGACCCCTACCCTTTCCTTGCGTTTCCCATGGCCAATCCACCTAACCTGCACATCTTTAGACTGTGGAAGGAAACTGGAGCACTGGGAGGCAGCCTACACAGACATTGGGAGAATGTGCAAACTCCACACAGACAGAAGCCCAAGGTTACAATTGAACCCAGATCCCTTGCACTGTGAGGCAGCAGTGCTAACCACTGAGCCACTGTGCTGCCCATTTAAATGCACAAATTGAGGTACAGGCAGTCCCTGGGTGTGAAATGGTTCTGTTCTAGAGTCCATTCACAAATCAATTTATATTCAAGTTGGAAAAATATAAAACAGCCATTCATAATTGCAGGAAGTGCTTATATGTCAGATCTTTAAAATTACATTCCTGTATACAATTGCATTTATAAGTTTGAGTGTTCCTAAACTGGGTGTTCATAAGTTGGAGACCTCCTGTAAATGAGTATTATTTAATTGCCATTACGAATATGTGACATCAGAGTGACTATCACTAGGGATTGACTATCCAAGTACAATTGTCATTTAGGAGGGGCAAAGGAGCAAAAGGAAGAGGGGATGAGGTAATAAGGGATGAGATCAGTACTTTACTGGGAGAGGATCTGAGATTGAAGGACCAAATGTAGAACCAGTTTGGCAAAGATATGAAACTAAAAAAGCAGTAAGCATTGCTGGGAATTATCTATCAGACATCAAATAGTAGGATGATGTTGGGAACTTTGAAATTCAAGCAATTGGAGACAAATGTAATGTAGGTAACACAGTCACAATAGGCGACTTTGATTTTCATGCAGACTGCGTTAACCAAGTCAACATTAATATTGTGGAAGAGACACAAAGAATGCTGGAGAAACTCAGCAGGTTTGCAGCAACTGAAGAGAGAGAAACAACACTAATGTTCGAATTCTAATATGAGCCTTTATCAGAACTTAGTATTTGTCTTTATTTCTGGAACAGTATATTGACGAGTATAAAGATCACTTTGTTTTTGGAATGTGAACTAAAAAATGGGTAACGATACTGCTTTGAACCAAGGAAACTTGTAATAACATGTTTGTAGTTTTAAAAACAAGTTATTGAAGTGCAGTGTGAGTTGTATATTCAATGTTCCCTACAGGACCAGTGAGAGAGAGGGTTCCAGATAAATTGGCACAGCCTACATGTGTTAGAAGGTATTCTGCCTAGAAACAGTCTCTTGTTTGGCTTTTCAATTGGCACTAGTTGCTGTGGGCACTGGAGGATCCAATACACTAATAACCTCCTGATTGGTTCTTATTGCAAGGGACTACAGCCCAGTGTCTGAACAATATAGCAGAAGCAATTAGGTTGCAAAAGAAAAAGCATCCATCTCCTTTTCTCTCTCTTCTGTGTGGAGACATAAAAGAAAACCACTAATAGCTAATTATTCTCCCTTACGTATCTCCGTGAGCTGTTCTCTCTGCATTGGGGAAACCACTTTTAGAGACATTGAAAGGGCAAATTCTTAACTAGTGAATGAAATACTGGCAACTAGTATAACCCACAATCTCATGTCATTGGCAAAGAATTGGAATGAATTGAAAGAAAACGACTCATCGACATCTGTAGTTTGAACTGGTACCATTGAACTGTAATTCACTGAGAGTTTTCTTTTGTCCACCTGTAACATTTGTGTCTTAGCTGTCTTTGGATATCTGTCTGCATATGTGACTGGGAATTTGTAAAAGATGTAGAGCTAAGTTATAGAGTTATTAATGAGCAACTCATGTTTCTTTATTTCCCCATTGGTTGAGGACAGTTTGATAACAATGAATAGTTATCTTCTTGTTAATGGGAAAAACCTGATGTGCATGATCTTTTCATCTGAATTAGACAGTTCGAAGGAATTAGGCAATACATAATCAAATTGTCACTGTTGTGATGATTCCAAGAACAACGGGGCTTTATTTCCAAAGCACTATGGCCAAAGAGTGAAGACAGGAGCCAACTAGAGATCAGGGCATTTTGGATTTAGTACTGTGTAATGTGGAAGGGCTGCTTAATAACCTTGCTGTAAAGTAGCCCCTTGTGAAATAGAAACAATAAATAATATAATAGGATTTTACATTAAATGTGGATATGATATAGCTCATTCTGAAACTAGAGTTTAAAATCTGAATTCAGAAAATTATGTAAGTACGATAGACAAGTTTGTTGCAGTTAATTGGGAAAAATACACAAAAAAATTTGATGGTAGACAGGCAATGTTTAGTATTTGAAGAAATGCTACATAGTCTACGACAGGTAGTAATTCCTCCAAGGCACAAAGAGAAATATAAATCAACTGCGGTTAATGAAAAAAGTTAAAGATTGCAGTGGATGAAAGGAAATAGTTTATAAAGATGCCAGAAAAAATTGGAAAACCTGAGAATTCAGAGCAATTTAAACGAAGTAGAAGAGGACAATCTAATTGATTAGGAAAGGAAAAATAAAGTATGAATGCAAATGAACAAGGAGTGTAAAAACTTCTTCAGGTATGTGTAAAGTTAGGACAAATTTGTGCCCATTACAAATGAGGGGTTGGGCTATTTATAGTGCAGGCGGAGAACAGTTACAGGGGTTTCTGCTATAACGCGATAGATGCGTTCCTGTGAAACAATGTGTTATAGAAAATCGTGCTATAGAAATAACGGGGCCCATGAGAAAAGGGGGATCGGGGGCAGACCAACAAAAAAATCACTGAAAATGACTCAAAAATCACTTTATCTTGAAAAAATGTCAAGATGACTTGATGGGGGAGGATGTTCTGTGGTTGCTCTGTTGTTAATGCAGGGACTGAGGGTCATCATCATCATCATCATCATCACTTTCAGGTACAGCTGTGGTTGCAGGGTTTGGGCAAAAAATAGTTAATCCAGAAGTGGATGGCTGTGGTTCATTGTCTTGACTGTTTCTTGGGGGTTGGCTTAAAAAAGAGACATCCAGGTTTTGCTGCTTTGCCTTTTCTCTTCATTCATGAGGAAGTTGTTCATGCGGTGTCAAATAAGATCTTATTCCACAAGCTGCTACCCTGCTGCATTCTGCATTGTAATCATTGTCCTCCAAGAGCTGCAACTGCTTCTCAGTTTCCCTCAGGATAGAAGACAAAACAGAAGAAGCGGAAAGCGCTCGTGGTGCTGCATCCTAGGCTACTTCTTCTTCATCTCCAGCTTCCACTGGCCCCTCAGTGACAAGTTGTTGTAGATCAGCTGCAGAGAGGTCTTCACAGTGGGATGCAAGCAGCTTTTCAACATGCTCATTTTCCTTTTCTTCAAATCCAACTTGCTTTGCAAGATCAGTGCAGTGTTCTTTGATTCTTGGGAGCTTCTCTGAGAGATCAAAGCTTTTTAAATGTTGAAAAAAATTCTGCAAGAGGCTTCTGCCAAACTGCTTGCAAGCAGTCCTCACTGAAATCAACCCCAGGCCTCCACGATAATGTCAATTGCATTCTTGATGCTAAAGCTCTTCCAAAATTGAAGAACATTGTCCTCATCCCCCTCTGTGGCTGCAATTAGTGGCAGAATTGTACAGTATTTCTC